GTTAATCAAAATAAACCAGCAGGCTCTTTATGTTAGGAAGCTATAACCCAAATGTTCCTTACACCTTTCATGCTTCTGTTTTCACTCTTTATTTTGGTAGCAAGAAAAACAAAGGCACTGAATCAATATTTATGAAAATAGAGCTCCCGTTTAGAAAGAAGCATTCAATATACCTCCAGTTCATATTTATTCAGTTGCATTATTTCAATATTGCCAATTCCCCAAGGTCTACTGGGGATATTTACAAAAAAAAAATGAACATGCAATCCTTAAAACAATGAAACAAATGAAAGATCATTCCCCCCTAACCTAAAATCTTTATTAATTAGCCTATAGCATTCTTAAAATCATGATAAATGAAACAATTCTGTAGTGTTTGTCTCCTGAAATGCCTGCAATATCTATGTTCTTATATGGAAGAGAGATTTAAAATGTGATATACAAATTGCCAACGGCCAAAGTCTACAATTAAATTATTGCCAAGTAAATTTGGCTATACTATAAAAATGCTATTATGACTTACAGGCAAATAAAGGCATGTACTTAATTTAGAAATATATTAACACAAGCAAGTTAGTGTTAGCTCACCAAAGAACTCAAGTATTTTCATTAACACCTCTGCATTATTATTCTCACCTAAGCCAGTATGTTGCATTATAAATAATGATTTTAAAAGCATCATAACAATGTTTTAGAAGCACACATTTGTTCTTCTAAACATTCCCTGAAGGTCTAATTATAATAACCTACCATCAAGTTGCAACTGGTGAGTAGGGGTTAGGATCCTTAATAAAAACCCAGCACACTGGATAGACAGGTTGTGCTTGTATTGTAGTTTTAAGCTGATGTAGTATTACTAGTGTACCATCACAAAGTAACCTGGCAAAAGGAAACATGTTCTAGAACTTACAACTAACGTGCCTTTGGGTTTAAGCCGTTAAAAGCCTGCAGGTGCCTCAACTCCATATTACAACTGCAAGCATCAAACCTATAAATAAAACAGGATCTCAAAGGGGAAACCTAAGACTCATAAAATGTCTCCAAAATATCCTCCATCTATTCAACAGAGATATCTTGGAAAGAGTGCAAATACCCATCAACAAAGGTCTCACATTCACTCAATAACTGTAGTTCCAGATACAAGATATGGCATAACCTTCTTATAACAGTGAGAAGGTTCAGACCTTGTTTATGTAATCTGCTTGTGCCATCCTTAAACCCTCTTCTTTTTTTGCTCTGTTACTAACTTTAATGGAGAAATAAGTAAAATTGACAGGCCTATTTGCAGATCCCTAAATCAAAAAAATATTGATAAATTAAAACAAAATTAAAAAGTTCATAGAATGGGAAGGTTCCTTGATACTCCTGCATTTGCTTTGGCCAGATGTGTCTCCATCTTGCTTAAGAAAAGAGTATCCAGCCAACTTCCTCAACTTCAACTCCTCCTAAAAACCAGCCGCCACAGACCGCCCTGGAACTATGATAGAAGGTGAAGGAACTACCAGGCAACTGGTGCTCAAAAGTTTGTGAACCCTTTTGAATGTTCAATATTTTTGCTTAATTGTGACCCAAAACATAAACTCTTCACCAAACGAATCTTAAAATGAGATAAAGAGAATCCAGTTAAAATTGAGTAAAGCACATCATACTTATTCATTGATTTATTGAGGAAAATGATCCAAATCTAGATATTTGTGAGTAGCAAAAATATGTGAGCCTTTGCTTTTAATAATTGGTTCCCCACCCCCGGCAGCAATTATCCACAACTAAAAATGTCTGATACCTGTTGATTTGCCCTATATATCAGTTTGGGAGAATTTTAGTCCATTCCTCCTTTGAGAATAGCTTCATCTCAGGGAGGTTGATGGGCTTCCTCACATCAATTGCTCGCTTCAGATCCTTCCACAATATTTCAATGGGATTAAAGACAGAATTCTTGATTTGGCCATTTGAAAAAAATTAACTTTCTTCTGTTTTAACCATTTTGGGGCATATGACTTGTGTGTTTTAAGCTGTTGAATGACCACTTTATTTCTTGAGCTTCAGTTTGTGGACAGATGCCCTGACAATTTTCTGTAGAATATGCAAGTATAATTCAGAATTCATAACTTCATCAAATATGGCAAAATGTCTTGATTCAAAGGCAGCAAAGCAGGCCCCAAACCATGATACTGACACCACCACAGTGTACTTTATGGGATAAATTTCTTATGCTGAATGCAGTGTTTGCCTTTCATAACTTTTCATTCAAACTAAAGGGCTCCATTCTGGTCTCATCCATCCATTCTACCAACTGCTTTCTAGTTATCCACGTAGTCTTTTGCAAACTGTAGGTGGGCAGCAATTTTCTTTTTGGAAAGTAGTAGCTTTCTCCTTGCAACTATGCCATGCACAGCAATGTTGTTCAGGGTTCTTCTGATGGTAGCCTCATGAACACTGGCAGTTGTTAATCCAAGAAAGGTTCTGGGTTCTTTAGATATTGCCCTGGGTTTCTTTGAGACCTCTAGAGGTATGATACATCTTGCTCTTGGTATGATCTTAATTGGCTGATCATTACTAGGAGAGTTTAATGGTGTTGAATTGTACATGTACTCCATCTCTACATGATCAGCTTAATTTCTCTTAATTTCTTGTTGAAGGCCAAACTCTTTGAAAACAGTTTTGTTGAAAATGTGGAGAAAAACAAGGTACCTTCCATCACACATGGTGGTTATGCCCTGAAGAGAAAAAATACTGGAAGAAAATACAAAAATGGATACAGAATTTAATTGGAAGTCAAATAGAATTTACCCTGGAATTATTCCTCCTAGAGATAATTAAAGGTAAATACAATAAAAGGACAAAATATTCAATGCTACATAAAAATACAGCAGTTGTTATAACAGCAGATAGGATAGCCTTTGCACAATGTTGGAAGAAAGAATGCATACGATTGGAAGACCTTGTAATCAGGGGTGGGTTTCTTCCAGTTCTGTCCACCTCTATAGAACCGGTAGCTCTGAAGAGCAGCAGACATAGAACCGGTTCTATGTCTGCTGATGTTTTTGCCCACTCACCCACCCGGGCTCTTACCTGAGCTTTATTTCCTGATTTTTCAACTTCAGCTGCTGAACGAGGCACAGCTGCAGGTAAAAAAACAAGAAAAGAGGGCTGTTTCAAAGGCTGCTTCTCGGCAGGCAGCATGCTAATGACGTGCTAATGACGATTTATGACAATTTACAGGCTCACGGTGGGCAGGAAAGCTCGAAAATCCCGAACCGGTAGTCAACCTTTTCAAATACCACCCCTGCTTGTAATTAAAAAAAAAAATTGAGTGTGTGGATATGGATAGGATGACTATAGAATTAAAAGGAAAGGAAGATTCTGAATTTTATGCAATATGGGAGAAATAGTATGACTGGATAAAAGATAGAAATAAGAAAAGAAAATATTATTATATAGTTGTAAAAGGTATAGAAATAGAATGTATAGCTTATAATGATATGGAACGTAGTTGTATAAAAAATGTCACAGCACTGTTTAACATCGATTGAGATATGTAAAAAAGAAAAATTCAATAAAAACAATAATAAAAAAAGAAAATAGTTTTGTAACCTTTTCCAGGCTGATGTGTATCAACAGCTGCTTTTTAGAGGTCTTCAGTTATTTCCTTTGTTCCAGTGATGACACACTTCCATACGCCTGTGGGCTTTGATAACAAATATGCAGAATTCCATTTTTAAATAAGGCAGGACCTACCCCACTGGTGCCTGATGATCATTCCATTTACTGAAACATCTGGCTTCAATTTCCTCTTTAAATGATCTGATAATCCTAGAAGTTCAGATAGTTTCGCCACATGTAAGTATGTGGTTTTTGAATCCTTACTCTCAATAAATCAATAAACAAATATAATTTTGTACCCATGTATTTAACTGGGTTCTCTTAATCTAGTTTTAGAACTTGTGTAAATAGTAGCTTTCACAGAAATATTGAAAAATCAAAAGGATCCAAAACCTTTAAAGCACCACAGTATCTTCAAATAGCCATTTTTCAGTTCTGCCTATGAATACCTCTACATCCATCTATCAGATTAAACAATACTGGTTAATAAGTCCAATAGCCTGACTGTAGAAGGTAGCTTTCTTCATTTTTCACACTGAGAAGATCTAATAGTGCTAAGAAGATAATAAGAATGGGTGGAGATAACCACACTGTGTTGGAAAAGCAGTGGCGCTCTGTTTATAACACCTCCTCACCTTCATGTACCAGACTGATCTACTAAAATATCTTTAATTTTAAGTTTCTCCAATGTCAGCCTTTTATAGAAAATAAAAGAAAACAAAATTCCATCAACTAAATATCCAAGTGGTTCTTCACATTCCATGAAAATGCCAAGCAAGCACCTTGAAGCCATAGAATGTCCTAAAAATGCAAAATCAAAGTGCAAGTGCTGAACCTGCTTTATTTTTTTCTAAGAAAAACAGCACAGCCATCAAGACAATCTGGCCATTCAGTAAGAACCTTGAGGCTGCCACACTGAGTGCTGAATAATCAGTTCAAAGCACAGAAATATTAAAGATGTACTTAGCAACCGCTAATCACATTTCTCATTCTCATGTTACATATTGCAGACTACATATCACTTTGAATGCAACTGACTGAAAATGGATCAAGATCAGAGATTGTCAGGACTAATCCAAGAATGACATAAAACAATCTAGCCAAAGTTCAGTTCCTTATTTACATAATCCTATAGACAGAATCTTGCTAGATGAACCCAATACTAACCTAACTAACAGATATATGTACCTTGCGAGATTCCAGAGACAGTGGTTACCTTCAATCTCTTCCCACAATCCAGACTGTGCTGCCTTTTGTTTTGGCCCAACCTCACTTCTTGTAGTAAGACTTATACAAGGTTCTCTCTCAGAACAATAAATCCGTAATATAGGTTGGGCTGAGAAAAAATCATTGTCTCAAACCCACTCTACAGTTTCCTGAATGAATGAGAGTTGAACCCGACATCTTTTCAGCTCTTATCCAATAGCTTGAGTATATATGTATATATTTTATCCTGACTAACTGAAATAAATAATACATCCTGGTTTACTAAAATGATGATGTGCTAAAATTATGTTTCATTTTAAGAGGACAAGGCATGCATTCAGTATGATTTAAAAGATTTCCCTCAAGCAGGCTTTATGTATATGACAGTTCTCCATTTGGTAGTAACATAGTCATTCAATTCAAACATTCAATATCCAAATGGGGATAAATATGGTTGGGCAAAGATGACACTCTAATCTTCTTGGTGGTGAATTTATAAATGGTGGGCCACACAAAATAAATTAATAAATAAATGTTAGAAAGCTTCATCTCTGGAAAAGAGAAATGCATTATCAGTAATTAACCATCAACCTCCAAGGTTGAGACTGAGATTGAAGAACCTCCAAGGTTGAGACTGAGATCGAAGAACAGCATCTTCAAATCTTCCGCTCCTCTAGCAAATAGCCATCACAGACTGCCCTATGGTAGGTGAGTAAGGAACTACCGGCCAACTGGGCACAACTGTCCGGTGCATGATCAAGAACAAATCTGGCCTGGGATAGGAAGCTCAAAGGACAATCAAAGAAAATGGGGCTTCCCTATAGAAGATACACTGTGTGACTGTGGAGAAGAACAATCCTTCTCATATATACCGTTTGCCTACGGTACAAAGGCAAACTTCATGCTGCTGAGAGAAAATTGTGTTACCATGTCCCAATACTGGGAGAATGCCATTTAGTTGTAATCCTATTTATTTTACATATGTTTTACCTGTCCTATATTTTTATATTTTACATATTTTATTTGCTCAGTGCTGAATGTTATGTGTCTATAATTTGAAGGTGTTTCTGACATGAATAAGGAAAGAAATAATTAGCTAGCTCCTTATAGGAAGAAGCATTTGGGAAAGAGAAGAAACATGCTAAGATTTAAAATACATAAACAGTTTAGTGAGGCCTTTGGGGTAACCTGGTGTATATAAATCTAATCCAGTAGCTTTGCTTTACCTCATAAATGGTTGACATTTGGAACACACTGTTCATTCCCTTCTAATAGCAATAGTTAAAATGGTTTGGGCAGCAGGTTGCAGTTAATACACAATCGTTACTGTAAGTTCCACAGCAGTGAATAAGTAAAGGAGGGAAATCATTACTGAGTTACAAAGCAGGCCTGCAAGATGATTAATGCTCTTTGCAGCCACATCAATTATGCAGCTATTTTTGTGCTCAAAAATATGTGGGCACATAACATCTTCCCCACCACCCACATCCCTTTCTATCATTTGTGCAAGATGCCATCTGTATGAAGAACCTCAACATATTATCCAGGAAATCAAGTCCATATTTCATTTGATTAGTTACTGTCAGTAACAGATTTGACATAATAAAGCATGTTGCACTCTGATTAGCTTTTCTGACAGCTTTCCAAGGAAATATAAATGCAAATCAATATAAAATCAGAGCTTTTTACTCTTTCTACCATAGCCACCTTTTGTATGTATATATCCATGTACAGTATAATAGTGTAAGTTACCTGTGTGCATAAATTTAATAAATAAAATAAAGTGTATGTGTATATGAATAAGCTAGATAAGTATGTATGTAGTGTGAAAAAGGTACTGGCAATTGGATAAAGCTTTGTCATTTTTTCATTTTTGCACCTGTAAAAAAATCAGGTCAATCTCATTTGCCTAATGTAATATGTTGTCTACAAGAACTCAGCTTCATATTAAACATATTGCTCCAGAAGATCACAGTACATTTGATTTTGTTTGATTCAGCAAACTAAAATAGCTACTGTAGATATTTAGATAACTGACAAATTAGTATAATTCTTCTTGAACCTAAGCCAATTCAAAGAACAATGAACATATAACTTACTTTAATTTCTTCTGGCTAGGGATTAAAACTCAAAGGAAGTAATGTTTGTGAATACCCGACCAAATTAAAAAGGAACATGTCCCTGATGAAACTACACAACTCTTACGGCACTAGCTGTAGCAATAGCAATAGCCCTTAGCACATATATCACTTCAGTGCTTTACAACATTCTTTAAGGGGTTTACAGAGTCAGCATATTGCCTTCAACAATCTGGTTCTTCAGTTTATGGACATTCGAAATTTGGAAGGCTGAGTCAACCTTGAGCCAGTCAGGACTAACTCCTCGCAGTGGGCAGAAATAGCCTGCAACACTGCATTTAACCACTGCACCACCACAACTCTTTATTTATGTAATCATCTTTCTTGTAAATTTACTTTTATCATGCCTGTTTGCATACAAACAATACCATGCCAATGTAAAATGAACCAACTGATCACTTCTGTTTCCGAATGCAGCAGAATCTCCAGTCAGTTTTTATTCATAACAACCAAGCTAAAGTGAACCAATCTTGCAATTTTGACCTACTGGTGATGGTTATGTACAATCAAGTCAGTGGCAAGCACACAGATTGTCCACAGAAGAGTCAGTCCCAACCTGGTCCTTCAGTCTTCTAATGGTGCACCCACCACTGCTGCAATTGAGTCCCTCCACCTGGCTAAGCAGGCATAACTTCCAAATAGGATACCATTTGTGAGGGAAAGCAACAAAATTAAAGTATTGACTTATAATCTGAATACCAATGTGTAGGTATTGAGAATGAGTCAATTTAGGGACTTAGCCCTCCACTACCAAAATAATGAAGTATCAAAAAGGAAGATTAGTAATCTCCATAGCAATTTTATACATGGGCAGCTGTGTGTATATATGTATGCACTTACATTTACCTATTTGAGTACATGTGTAAGAGATTTTGTGTCAGGGACATATGTTTTGATTTCTGAAAAGTAGTTGTTTTATTGTATTTTGTACAAATATACAATTTATATTTAAGGCTATGATTCCATTTCCTGCCTTGTTCTAAGACTGTTGGTCTTATTTTAACTACCCCAGTTTGTTTTCTCAGAAACAACTATTTATGACTACTCATTATAACTTTAGAAAATACTTTATAAATAGTCAATCTCCCACCACCAACATACCATAAAAGCCACTTTGTAAGCATACCTATAACACATTGTCCAAATTCTAAAAATAACCCCAGCTCAAAAAGATTGTTATTGGTTAGACTAGATACTGTCATAAGGACCATAAAAACATTATTTACTTGCACACGCTTGTCTTGAACCTACAGTATATTGAATTGTTGTAGCTCTGAAAATGACACATAAACAAAAAAATATTCTGGAGTATAAGCAATGCTCAGAGTTGCTAGTGTAAGATGGACAACTCTATATTGTAAATTGCTTAAATAAATACATGTATAAGTAAATAAGTATTGTAAATAAATATATAACAGTTCTTGGTCATTTTTGTTATGGAAGAATTGTTATACAGTTAAGAGTACAACAGATACCATAGTTCTGGGTTAATTTGAGTGGAATTTCTATTCTGAGATTCCTCCAATTTCTCTAGGTGTTGTTATGATAGGCAAAAGGAAGACCTTCCTACTGCTACCACTTATTTCTAGATCTCAGAGCAACGTACACAGAAAATAGTTAGACAACAAGATTTCTACAGATTGGGAAAGTATCTTGCTAATCTCCTAGGTTAAAGGCTGCAGTTCCTTGTAGGGGTGGAAAACAGGAAAGCTCTTTTAAATATTTTTCCCCCAAAAAAATTATTCAGGAAGATATTAAACAAGAAAAACGAATACAGCATCCTAGTACAAAAATATATAAAAATAATAAAATATATTTGTATACTTTAAAAAAAAAATTAAAAGTGCAGAAAAAAGAAAAGATTACAAGAAGAAAATTCCCCGCAAATATAGTCAACATTAAAATAGCAATATCACTTAGACTTATGTTGCAATAACAGTTAGACTTATATACCGCTTCATAGTGCTTTAAGCAGTTTAGAGAGTCAGCATATTTCTCCCAGCAATCAAGGTCCTAATTTTACCAGCCTCGGAAGAATGGACAGCTAAGTGAACTTTAAGCTGGTGAGGATCAAACTTGTGGCAATGAGCCGAATTAGCCTGCAATATTGCATTATAACCACTGTGCTACCACGGCTCCAGTGAATACAATGAAAAATCTATCTGTATTTCAAAGCCAATCAAATGTTTCTTTCATTCCACATCTCACCTATAGTCCATAAATCCCTATCTAAATCTTATTACTTGAAGTCTTATTAGTCCCTTATTAATCAACAAAAATCCAGTAAGGGTTAAGAGAAATATCAACTTATATCTTTATATCTGGAGAGGTCTTTTAAATCTTAATATGAATGGGAGGCAGCAACTGTTATCTTTGGAAGGCTCAGTGACAAGCCAAAAGAGCATCTTGACATTTGAGTCTAATTATAACATGTGAAATTGCTTTAGCAGAAGTGTGGTATCTGCTCCAAATGCAGAAGGGGCCGGTCGAAGATTGGAACCAGTCCAGATTCACCAAAACTTCCGAGGAGAGAATTCATGCAGAGTGGCATGTGGAAGCAGCTTCTCATCAAACGTTATGTTTTATCTGTGCAGTATCTCTCTTACACCAAGCTAGGCTAGTAATACCTCAGAATTATGAAGATATTATGAAGATAATTATGAAGATTCCCCCATAGAGAGGTGCTCAGAAACAAGGTGAAAAAAGTTAAGATGTGGTCACGACCATATGGTTGCCTTCCTGCCCCTTCCTGCCCCTGTTTGTGATGACTGAGGAAAATAGTTGACCCCAATTGTGTGGTTGCAACCATCATCTTGACTTCTTTGATGCCACCCCTGCAGATACCCATTTCCCCAATTCCTCTTCCCTCTTGAATATACTATAGCAGTAAGGTTAGGAATTAACTATGTCACCAAAAGCCAAAGCTGATATTATATTGTTATAAGGTTAACTCCGGTTTATCCAAAGCTGACCAAAAACCTGAGGTGCTTATATTACAAACAGAAGGAAGGAAAATCTTTGCAAACCATAATGGAAAGCAAGAAATGTGGAGGAAATATGCCAATTCAAAATTATTTTTTTATAAATTAACCAACATTGCAATATTCCTATATATAATAAACACTGCAGTATTCAGTCGTAAGTTATAATGGTTGATGTAACTACAGGAACCAATTTTATGTAAAAATGGTCATTTTTAATGGTCATTTTATAGTGAAAATGGTCATTAAGCAAATCATGTGGTCATAAGTCTGAATCACGTGGTGATTAAGCAAATCATAGTCAAATCTGAAACCATTTTCCCAATGGGCATTTTTTGTTGGAAACTGGCAACAGCTTAAAACAAACAGAAAGAAAAGCTATCCAGATCTGACTAGAACTGCATAGATCATTGTCCAATCACGTTCTAAACCAACCCCGCCATCTGTAATTGTGTCTTGTGTATGAACAAAGCACATACTCTGGTATCTTTACATTTTTTGTAGAAAGGCTTTCCAAGAGAGCTATATTTAGCATCTGAGACTACTTTTGTTACAATGATTTAGTGCAGCCATAAGCCCAGTTTAATAGCTCAAGAAAGTCAGATTTACAGCTGTTTTCTTTACTGAAATGGCTAAGAGTAACTTTGAATCTTCCACCTTATATTATACAGCTCTTTATAATGCTTTGCTTGTATAATTTGTAACACCAGTCAACGATATTG